TCAACGAATCTACGATACATTTCATCTTGGGGATACGGTAATGCTGTCATCATTGAAATAGCCCTCATTATGCAAGAAACAGCCAGTGCCAAGATTTTACGTCCCTACCACTCATTCACAATACTTGAGCAGTCCGAGTGCAGAGTTTTAGCATGTAGGTTTTCGACTTTAGGCACTTTGGCACATTCTTGTCATACATATATCACATTAGCTATAAATGGCAAACAACTTTTCTAGCCTGGAGATGCGCTACCAGAAAGTTATACTTCGAGCAAGATTTGACGCGAACAAGGACGAAAAGGATATGCGGAAGAGCCAGTTCCTTCTGGCCGATGGTTGTCGACAGCTGTGGGAGAAGAAACACTGGAAGCCTTTTAACTGTAAGAATATCCCGCTAATGAATGCGTTTTCAGTTAACAAGTCAAAAAGCAGAGCGATTGCCTTTGTCTTCTCATCAGTTTTGGAACAATCAAAATATAACTTTCAGATCCACTTGATCCAGGAGGCAGTAGCTACGATCGAGAGCGTGAGTCACCCGACGTGGTAAGTTTTAGTATCAAGTTGTTTCTCGGTAGTCCTTTTTTATTTTTCATAATTCTCATTTGTCTAAGTCCACGTCCATTCTCAGCTGGAAGCTGCGGTGTCAAATGCGTCACTAGTGCCCATCAGGGCGTGAACAGACACATAAGAAATCCTCAGTTATAAGTGAGAAGTCCTTGAAGCAAAGAAAAAGGGCTTGAAAAATAAAAGAAACATTATGTTGTCCCTTTGTTGACAGCCTCATATTTGGGCATGGAAAGGTTACTGCTTTGTTTCTCGATCATCTTTCGTTAGTGAATAATGGATCGCTCAGCATTTTCATTTCATAGATCTCCTTTTGCTTTGTCACCTGCTTTACCATTCTGTCTATTTTCTTCTCGATCCTGGAGTAATTCTTCTTCCAGTCTCCCTTTTTAATATACTGCTTAGACTGCAGCGTCTTAATAGACAGCAAATGTACTCGGATGATCTTAAAATCATAGGTTAAGGTGGTTCGGTTTACATGCAGTTTATGACATGTCCTTTTATGCACAAAATTACGATCAGCGCTGTTATATGGTTCTTATAAGCAACTGTGATAATTCTCAGCAAGGTTTCAATTCAGACAATAGTGGACTGATCGCTCTACCCGTTTAGGTTTATCGAAAAAAGGAAAATTTGTGGTTTGATGAAGGAGATATGAGCTATTAGTTGTAACTTTTTACTCAGATTTGTTTCAACTTCTTTATTTCCCTTGCAGATGTTGGATTCAGACCAGTGGACTCTGGCGGAACGCGAACAATTTCCTTACTACTTCAATAGACGAGAGCAGCGGAAAAAGGTAGGGCTTATCGACATTATTCTATGGTGAGCCCCTTTTATATCAGAATGTTCTTTTTAAAGCGAAAGAGGAAAGTTTTCTTCTGACTTCAAGCAAATGATGACATTGTTGGTATGACAGTGACAATTCTTTTAGGGCAACTCATACGTCATTAACAATCATACGAATCTAAATAGTGTACGAACTCTCACAGCATTTGG